CTACATGGCTCTCCTGCACTACCCTTAAGTCCTCTCTACACGCACTCACTCATCGTCTCTCCCTCCTCCTGTCCGGGTTATGCTGCACCTCCTTTTCTTTCCTTGTACGACGGGACGCCCTCCCGTGCCATGTCACTCTATAACCAGCCCCCAGCTTCCATTCGAATGATAATCGGCAGGAAGGCATGGTGGTCCGAGGACGTAACGGCCACACGAACAGGAGTGTTTTTTCAGGAGAAAGTTCAGCTTTGAGATCGTAATGCCTCCTTGTAGCCCTGTCCTCTTTCCATCTCTCCGGGCTTGCCCATCCATGCCGACACCTGTGTACCTTCACGCTGCCTTCTGCTCCGTGTCACCCCCACCTCCCCCAAACAGCCCCTTCCCCGCTGGGCTCCCCAGGCCCCCTCTCGCTCGGCGTGCTGGACACGTGGGGCTCCGGCACCCGCTCCTCCTGCCGCCTCTCGCGATGAAACCCCTTGTGCCTGCTCCCACAGGGCCACCCCAATCAATGTCACCGCTCTGCCGGCTGCACCTCCAGCTTAGTACAGGGCACTCACTACACAGAAACGATTTACTGCAGATAGTTATCACCAGTGCCCCCTTTCTTCAATACCAGAACGTCCACAACTTGCGTGTCTACTGTGCCCAACTGCTCTGACAGCTGCTGGGGCAGGGGAGGCGGTGGGGACCCTCGCGTTGCTGACGTGAGTTGCTGCCTGCTCGCCCAGGTGCTGGCAGGGCTGCACTTCCTGCACAAGCGCTGCCGCATTATCCACACGGACATCAAACCGGAGAACGTCTTGCTGTACGGACGTGACAAAAGCCTCCAAAGGCTTCTGCCCGATACGCTCGACTGCAGCCAGAGAACAGATCTGAGGCTCAAGGGACCAGGTGAGCACTCCAGGGTTTTTTTAACAAGAAGAGGGACTTACGTGTTTATTGCCAGGAGGGAAACAGAGAGGCAGCAGGTACAGATATCTTAGGAAAGGTTCCCATCTCCTGCAACAGCCAGTACAAAACAGTCCAGCCAGCTTATGCTGCTGAGAGGCCTCTCTTATCTCTGCTTAATACAAACATCAGGCTGAGTGGCTACAAGCTACTCAAGGCACCTACAGAAATGTGGTCTTGCAGGTAGGTTTGTGTGGAGGACAACTACAGATCACGGGCATCTGTTAACAGCCCCACCACAACCTCAGAGCTCATTCTTATGGCTTAAGGTACAGCATAGTTCCCTTGTGTCCGGTGTTTTCAGCCACTGAAAGGTTTACGTACAAAATGGTTTGATCAGAAAGCTGTATGACGCTTCTGCTCTTTATTTCCTGTATTTCTGAGGTTTGTGGGAGACTTGTATGTACTGCCAATCTTCAAGGCCTTTTGAGACATAATTTATTTGCAGAGAATGGTGTGAATATCAAATAAGACGTAGGGCTGGAGAGTTTCTCGAGAGATCAGCTCATCTCCCAGCAATGAGACCTTTATATTATCCTCGCCCAATGTTGTCCCATGAGCATTTCTCCCATGATGGTGCCGTTTTGTCTCTCAAACTCTGGGGCAATGGGGAATGCTAAATTAGTGGCTGAGTCTTTTGCTTGGAGCAGAAAAGCACAATATTAGGCACAGACTGACAGCTCACTGTAAAGCAGTAAACCAAAAATTACCCTTTTCCAGGGTCACATGAAAATGTAACCTTTACGGTGCTTGCCAAGCAGCCTGTCTCCAAGGTCTGTGACAGCCAGGATTGCTGAAGGCTAAGGAGGCATGACAGATGTTTTGTGTCTGACTAGTGCTGGTAGGATGTGCTCTCCTCTGGGCCCGCAATAATTTAACCTCGGTGCTAGAGGAACCTTGCAGCAGGACAGGAGCACATGGTCACGCCGCTCCACTCCAAGCTACTGTCCTCCCAGACATCCTCTTAGATCTTGACTGGGTACCAGCTCTTCCTTTGTGTTTCCTCAAAAAACAGAGGTGGCATTTTATTGATGATAAAAAGCATTTTGGGACCTTTTAGGCTGAAAAAATTTAAAGGCAGGCATACATGCCTCTCTTGTGGTAAGTGATGCATACCTGTTGGTTTGGAAAGACCTGGTTTCTCTCTGCCTTTTCCATCTAGGAGGTGATCTTGGCAATCGATTGGAAGAATCTGATTTAATGAGCATGGAAGTGAAAATTGCAGATCTGGGCAGTGCGTGCTGGACAGTGAGTCTGCTCCGAGTCTCAGTCCCATGCAGGACGCTGTGTGCTTCTTTCCATCCCACCCTGCGTGTCTGTCCTTTTACAGCTGAACAGCTATTTCAGTGTGCTGAAGGGATACCGGTTTCAGGGGGTGTTACATTCAGCACTCCCAGCTCAGAGCTGGGCCCTGTGCTCCTGGAGACACTGTCAACTTTGGATGTTTCTTCAGCTTGCAGTTAGTCCCTACAATTGGAAATTCAAAACCGTGTTCAGTGTGAAATGTTGGGAGATAAATTCACCCTGGTGTCAGTAGGGCTGAGAATGTGCCTGCCGTGCCCTGCGCAGAGTTTAGTACATGTATTCAGTTCTGCCCCGCAGCGTCCTCCTCACCGTGCAGGAAGCTTGTGACCACAAGCGTTGCCGTTACTCATTTAAGGACGGGAGTTTGTTTCTGTTTCAGTACAAGCCTTTTTCCAAGGAGATACAGACCCAGCCATACCGTGCCCTGGAAGTGCTTCTTGGATTAGACTACGGCACTCCTGCGGATATCTGGAGCACGGGCTGCCTGGTAGGACTGGGGATGATGCTGTGTGCGCACGGGAGATAACTGACACTAACAGGCTGGGGCAGCGTGTCCTCAGCACCCACCTATACCCACTGCATGGGGAGCAAGACTTCCTTGCTGAGAAGCAGTAAGGGGTTGTCTGCACGCATTCACTTTGGATTGAAAGCATGCTGCTGATAAAATTCACGCTTAGTTAGTTCATGCTATAATGTTGCATGTCACTCATGTTAGTTCACAGACTTGACTGAATCAGGCACGTACTAGTTTTCATCCTGATGGAGCTTAAAGGTGCTGTTTCACCATGGTACAGATCAAAGCAGTATGAATATTTCCATATTTTAGGATCAGTTTTGTGTGATAGGAAGGGAAATTGGTACTATCAGAGTTAACGGGGAAGAAAAACTCCAGGTCAGTTAGTGAATTAACAATGCTACTCCATTTCTAGGCATTTGAAATGGCAACTGGGGAGCGTCTGTTTGATCCTCAACCTGGGAAATATTTCTCCAGAGATGATGGTAGGACTCAATCAGTTTTATTCATTTCACTGACGGAAGTGTCACAGTCTTTGAATCTAGATGTGTCCCTCTGCCTAGATCATGTTGCTCGTATTATTGAACTCCTGGGAAGAATTCCTCCTCAAATTGCTTTCTCCTGGAACAAGTCAACAAAATTCTTCAGCAGGCCAGGTAAGAATTGGAGTAAGGAAGTTTACTCTAAAAAACACTGTGGATCCCTGACACACTCCTACTCAGCTCACACAGTCTTCATCCCAAAAGTTATGTTACGCAACACAGGCTACAAGCAGGGACTGAACACAAGCGGAGATATCATAAAGAGCAGTAACACTCCCTGCCCACGTTTGCAATCCAGGAGCGTTCCAGGGATGAATACAAAATCCTGAAAAACGGTCATAGCAAACACCCAACAGGGAAAACATTTCCATTCTTTCTCCTTTGGATTTGGAGAGAATGGAAATACGGACAGGAAATAGCTACATGCCAGGAAGGCTGAAGAGTGTGTAACTGCCTGGATTTCACCCGTTCACTGGCAGAGAACAATGGTGATCAGGAATGGGACACTCGTACCCTTCCATCCTTCCAACGCGGCTGCTATATTTAGTCTTCTGACCCAACTGTAACGTCTCTTCTGTTTTATTCTCCCCAATTCCTTTCCCTTTGACTCACTAGGCTTGAAATCTTTGTCTTTGACCTCAAGGCATCACATGACTCCATCCTTCTGCAATTTAGCCTATCCTCCTCTTCCTCTGCTTTCACGCTCACCAGCCACACAGCTTCAGCATACCCACAATTCATTCAATGTTGAGTGCTGGTCCCATGCTGCAGTTCAACGAGCACCTCCCTGCACATTCAGATCCTTTGCTCACACTTATTCCTTCTATGGTGCTCGAAAGAAATGAGTCAAAACTAGTTCTCGTTCTATATTCATTCTCTGTGTGAACCAAACTGGCCTGACCTGAATCACATTTACACCAGGTACTCCCGAGGACAAGGATAGCTTCTGGGTCAGTAGTGGCACTCCTCTGGGCCCCATGGAGCTCGTAGGCACAAAACAAATTAACCATTAGTGTCTTGCAAGCTCTGGCACTGAAATGGCCCGATGCATTCTGGGTTGCGTGCGGACAGGCAGAGGGAGCAAGCAGCAATGGCTTTGGCATGGCTATTCTGGGAACACTTCATTCGCTCTTGGCATGTTCTCATCTAAGCAATGGGGAGACTCCAAACACTAGCTTGGAAAGACCATTTCTGAGAAACACCCGAGAGCCAAACCTGCAAGGGGCAGTGCGGGTGAAGCTTACAGACGGGAAGATTCGGAGGCTAAGGAAGGGATCCTTCCGGCTGCCTTGGATGAATTGTATGAGGCGCGCGTGTAACTGAGGTACTGTGCTTACGCTGTCTTTGCTAGGCGCTCTCCTGCGGATCTCCAGGCTTTCCCCCCGCAGCCTCCACAGCATCCTGGCGGAGAGACACAACTGGACAAAATACGAGGACACCCCCTTCACCAGCATCCTCCTGCCGGCGCTGCAGTACGCA